TTTCTCATTCCGAATTAATTATCAATACGGAGTCGATACGACTGCGTTTCTCGTTATTGGAACTCAAACCGGGCCGGGCGACTCGCGCTTCGCGATATCAATCGCGGGAACGATGAAACGGCGGGTAAATTATGTTCAAAAAAGATTAATTAAATGAGATTAATGGAATTATGACGCTGGGAAAAGTACCTTCCCCATGTTTGCCGGTGTTTGCCCCGCGATTATTTTATTCCCGCGTAAACCCCAAGTGTAAATGCGTTATCTACTAATTGGGAGTTTGTCGAGGAATGGAAGGGAAGTATTAAACCCACACGTCGTCCGCGTTCTATTTGCCAGAATAGTGCAAAGAGAGCTGTCGGAACTGTGCAAATAATGAGAGCGCGCGTACGAGGGAATTCTTTAACGATTTATTTTCGGACCTCGCCCTTGGAAACGGCGGAAAAAAAATTGCTCTAAAAATACGTATAGGCGAACGCGGGAGTTTTGCTTACGGGCCGTGAAACATATTGATCAGCGCGTAATGGCTTATCGCACCTATCTCTTCGGGCTGTATTTATACAGCGCACAGAGCTCCCAATAGTTAGAGCGATTTTTTATGTGCGCAACGTGCCGTGTATTTTCGATCGAATCAACCGACGCCACTCGTCGTAATGACTCGCACAGCCATTATGGTGGAAGTGCAAACGTATATTCGTGTCTATTCGCCAGTGCTCGCGCTCTGACACACGTCGAGAAAAAATTCTCCATAGAGACGGCATGCGGTAAATGTCCCGCGAACAATCCGACAAAAGGTATCTGCCGGACAATTGAATTTTTCCGACAAGTAATGGTGTCGTCTATCTCTAATTTAATTTTTCATATATAATATTCAAATATCTGTTATCGATTTAAAGCAACGACGAAGTTAATATATTTTTTGGGGGGGGGGTAAAAGCTTTCGTTATCCGGCACTTCAAATCGAGCTAAATAGAGATTTTATTTTTATCTTTCGCGCCAGGCATCGACACGTGTCAATATTTTACTTATACTGCAGTTTATTTATTCGGTTTCGCAAACAAATAAAAAGATAAGCGCAGTGTGTCCAACTTTTGCTCGGAGATATGTTAAATCTTTTCTTGCCTATCGAAGTCTCTCGAAGGAATATCTCGATGTTACCCCAAGTACATCTGTCACTCATCACCGATGATGCAAACAAGTCGATCATCAAGTTGATAAGCTCACTGTAGAAACAGTCGTCGCGAAGAAACCGAAAAACTCACTTGGACTTAATCGCTGATTGCAAACTAAACCGCGCATTTTATGAACTTTTTATATTCCAGATCGTACAGATAATAATTTTTAAACAACAGAATAAATTATCCAACAATTTCTAAAAATCTACACCTCTTTTTATGTTATTTTTGTAACACCTGAGCTTATAAAGATTATATCGAGAAAGAGAATAAGATAATTATATAAATACTGCAAGGCCGCAAAGATAATATAAGCACATCGCGTCAATTAATTATAATAATCAAAGATTCGATTGATATTCATATAATTGTCAATTTTTTGGATGACCAAAATAATCTGTGATTTAATAGTCTTTTCTAAACTCGAAATTATTTTAAGAGTCGATAACGACATAATATCACTGAGAATCGCCAGTATTTTACATCGATTAAATCAATATTAATAAGCAGCTTTATATGTTTGAGAGAAAAACGTTAGATTCCTAAATTATAAAATATTATGAGTTGCGCTTTATTTAATTTCGAATTATGCACATTATAAACTCCGGTACGCGGAATCCTTTAAATAAACGTATTTAAACGAGATTCTGAATTTCGTGTGCGTATTTATATGTCCTGTAAATTTATACGGTCGATTTTTTAAGTTATTTCGCGCAATACGGTTTTATTAAGCTAAGTGCGAATATAATATTTCCTTCATAACTAAGTAATAACTGCAGAAACAATCGCATCGCAGATCGAAACGCATCGTGATGTTACTCACCGTGGCGATGCACTTGCTGGCACTCGCAGACGCGTCCCGTCCTCCCGATACACACACGATATTCGCTCGTCGCATATCACGGATCTCTTAATTCTCAGCCGATGCAACGCGATCTCGTAGTTCGCCAGAAAACAATTCTTGCAAGTCCGAGAAATTCTCAGCGCCGCCGAGATGTTCTCTTTTCTATTAGTGAGAAGTCCGAGTCGTCGAATTCGCAACGTCGGCGTCTCGGACTTGGCGTCGCGAGTCTTCGTTGCCATCTTTCATCCGAGCAGCACACAATCACCGGCGCGATTCGCGTGTCGCGCGAGCATCCGATCCGCGTGGGACATCCTTGCAAGTAGCCTCGACACTTCCTTCCGCTTTCGCGAGAAGTCTCGTCGCCGAAAGATTCGCGCAGCGAATTTCGTTTTCGCTCGGCGAGAAGACGACGAGGTGACTATCTACTATTTGGCAATGACAGCCACACCGGTTCGACGAGACGCGATAAGACGATGCACGGTCCCATTATGAGCACGTAATGCCGAACGATACGAGAATACGGGAATAAGAACAATTTTGTTGACAATGCCGCCGAGGTAATACAGCGCTTATCAGGTGCGACGCACCAACTGTTTGTCATTCGTCGCGAACCTAGCTGTTAACTCTTCGGGGTGAAACGCGTGCGTTGTTACGCGTGAGTTACACACAAGAAGGAAAAGTTATCGATTCGTGTGTTTATTACGCCAGGTAAATAGTCTCGCGATATACTACCAATGTGTTCGCTAATGTAACAATAAGATGAACTTAAGCGGAGAGAATTTTCTCTTAAAATTTATCCTGAAAATCGTGTAATCGTGGGACAATGTGGCATTTTTAAGACCTTTATGTGAGTTTCTTGAAATTTTACCATACACTCTACCAGTAAAATGTATTCCAAGTGTAATGTTACAAAATTTTTGAGTCTTGGTCTTACATCCCTCGGCTCCGGACGTTAGTGAAATTTTGCTCTTAGTTGTTCCTAACACAGAACTCTATTCCGCTAATTGTAAGATACGGTTTTATTTGTATTTGCCATGACTCTGTAACAAGATCCCACCTGATAAGGACCTAAGCCAAAGGTCGAAACGCTGTAAAAGTTTAATTTAACAAATGTGGCCAGCCGAGGTCGATTGAAAATTTACTAGCAAAATGTGCGGTAAAATTATTCGCGAAAACATTTTGAACTTCGATATCATATACTTTGATAATTGAAGTTTATGCGTCAATTACTATATAGGTATACATGTAGGAGCTTTTACGCAGAAAGATAGATATTTTAATTCTTCTCGATATAATAAACAAGTGTTATCTTCCACGTAAAAATTAATTTAACAAATTAGTAGATTTAATTGTACAGTTTCAAACTGTATATTTCTAAAACTTGGTTGCTAATTAACAAGAATATTCTTCATGTCGCCAGCAGTAATTAATAACTTCAGTGTGTTTTTACTGACCATATCTGGCATTTTTAATAATACAGAAAATTTATCGCGAAAAATATTACCTCAGCCAGAGTTTGAACCTGGACTTCCCTACTCTCTAAGCCGGTGTCTCACCAATTCGATTACCGAGACATACTTTCCGCAATCAATTTTCTGTATTATTAAACATGCCAGATATGGTCAATAAAAACACTGAAGTTGGTTGTTAATGTTCCTCGTTATTTAGGGGCCTATTCCATCAACGTTAACGACATCATTACGTAGCTTTACGCAGACGTTGTAGAATAGAAACCATAGAAAAACCGCGCATTTATTTTTATCTTTATATTATTTGTATTATTTATGTTACATATTTAAATTTTTAATGTTATTCATATTATTTTCAATGCATGTAGTTTTAATGCAATTTATATATTGTAAGCTGAAGCTGTAATAAAGATTGACTGATGTAATTTATACGTTATTTTTCATTTACTTTGACGCACAGTATTGCCGGTAAATTGTCGTTGAGCGAAAAATAATGTTGCATAAGAATCAGCAACTAGAGCCACGCTAGATACTGAACTCTTTGTCGTTCAATGCCGATTAGAATCTTTATACGATTGTATCTCTCTCGCGCTGAATGCAGTTCATTCATAAAATCGTTCGTTCGCTCGACGAGCTCGTTCATGGATATGCAAAATATTCTTCGAATGCCTAATCGCTTGATCCAATCTTAGATATCCACTCTAATCGAAACCATGCTAACAGCTTAATACAATCGCACTTATGACCACGTTAATAATAGCGTCTGCGATCGTTTACTTCTCACTGGGTCGTTCCCAGCGTCAAATGGAATAAACCGATGCGCGTTATACAGGGTGTTCCAGGAGGAATGGTCAATGTTCTGGGAGGTGATCGTTTGGGTCATTTTAAGCAAAAATGTTCATACGAATATACGTCCCATTCCCCATTGTTTCCGAGATAGAGCACATTTTCTTGACATCCTCGTTCAGATAAAACATGAACACTGGGAAGCGTTCCACTTTCACGGCAATGTATTGCAAACCTTGGAAAACACTTTACGGAACTCTGCGTGTAGGAAAGCGTCGACGCTGTTCTTCAACAGCGGCAGTAGCACTACCGTCACAGAAACCGTAAACGTACAGCACACCTGCATGTTCGACATCCGCGAATATGCGAGGCATTTTCAACATTTATACAATTTTATCGGTACAACAGTCAACAGACGTGTAAGAGTAAATTCCCGCGGACGTTTATAAGATTGGATAATGGGTGAAGTGTACAGAAAAACAAAGTAAATACACGAGACATTCAAGTAGCTCCAGCTCGGAAACAGTGGGGAATGGGACGTATATTCATGTGAATACTTTTGCTTAAAATGACCGATACTATCACCTCCCAGAACATTGACCTTTCTTCCTGGAACACCCTGTATATTATCTGCTTCTCCTAATCCCTTAATGAATGTAACTTGTTAACCAAAACACGGGAGTAGCCGCGATTTATCGTCTAATCGCTGATATCGTTTGTGGAACTCACCCATTGATGACGGAAGCGGATTCATCGGCGTTTGGTGGGCCCGACACCTGGACTTTGGGCACGGTGTAACCGTCCAGGTTCTGTCCATAACCACCAGCAGTTTGCTGCTGGAGATGGGCGGTGGTGTAGTCATCGCTGTCGCTGCTCGGCGGTTGCTCCGACCCGACACCGCCACGAGGTCTGCAATAGAACGAGCCATCGGGTATTGACGAGCAGACGAACCGCGTGGAACCGCGACGGATCTTATCCCGCCACGCCGCGAAGCGCGGCCGCACGTGCCTCGCGCGGTCCCGCTTCGAATTTCTGCGCCACGAAATTTGCACCATGCGGTCGCCGAGGGCGGATATATCGCGCGGTACACGCATTCGAACTGATACGCGCCGTTCCAGTCGGTGTTCAACCAGGCCGATTAAACTACTCCGTTCTCTCGCGTTTCACTCGACGGCGGTCGAGGCTCCAACTCGATTCCCCAAGACTCGTGGCGATCGGTTTGTAACGCGATCGCGTGGACTTGAAATCGCTGAATTACCGTCGTATTATACGATACAGCCGTGTACAACGCAAACAGATGTGTATCAATTCGGTAAAAGATAAAAGAGAACACAGAGCATCTCTGATTTACATTTGTACGTTCGTAGCGTGCACCATACTTTCTTTCCTAGAAAAAGCTTCTAGAATGCATTTCGTACGAGTCTATAACATTTTTAACACGGGCCAATAAACTTGGTATCATGGAAATTAAACCGCAAAATAACGTACGTGTTACAGAAAGATTTTATCAAAAAATAATTAAGACTTGATTGACTAGTATTGATGGAAACTATTTTTTTCTTCTGAGAATAAAATCTGAGATTAACATACAATCCAGAATTAAAACGACCTAGGCTGGCAAATTCTTTATTCAATAAATCACGACGTTTCGGCCAGTAATACTGGTCCTTTTCAAGTGTATCTTACGCTACCCCTATCAATCGTTACAGCAAAAGATAGGAAGCATGTCGTAGTACATAAAAATTAAATGAACCAGTACGTAAAAATGGAAAAGGACCAGCATTACGGGCCGAAACGTCGTGATTTATTGAATAGAGAATTTGCCAGCCTAGGTCGTTTTAATCCTGGATTGTATGTTTCTTTTATTACTGGCGACTTACCATTTCCAAATTTCTAAATAATAACGTCGAAAATAAAGAGAAATAGATAATTTTGTCGGTGGCATATCAGGCCGCGTAGATTACCGAGTTCGGAGCTACACACATCGGAAATATTCGAAGCGTGACGGCAGACTGCAAACGTCACGATCAGCTGTCGCCAGAGGCGTGACGAATCTCGTCGCGATGCGGATCGGGAAATTAACTGGTCGAGTTAAACCGTGAGTTAATCGACTCTATCTCGCACGGACAGGGAACGCAATTGTATGCTTCAACGAGAGCAGCGCGGAAAGATTCCTATCTGCCGTGAAACACATGCTCTTTGCACGTTACTGAGGCAATTGCTGTTTGTAAATCAGATCGCTCGGCTTATTTAACCAGCGGTATCCGTGTCCTGCTCGGAACGGCGAAAGCGAAACTCGAAGGACGAGCGAACGTGACGTCGAAGTAGTACCTCAATTTTGATAAAATAACAGTTTTATATTTAAAAAAATCAAACCTTAATTTAAATGCAAGATTAATCAGAGAAACCTTAGATCTTCGCGATACAGTCGGAGAAACCTTAGATGTTTTCGCGATATAATCTTTCAGGAGACGAGGAAAATAAATCTTAATTCGTTGGCAGAATCGTAATAAAATTTGTAAATTAAAAGTAACGTAGTTCCCTTCTCGAAATTAAATTTTTTCGAGCCCCCTTGCACACACTTTTCTCTCAGAAAAGAAGTTATTTCCGCGATAATTTCATGTAGGACGAGTTCCGAGAATAACTAGACGTTGGTATCTTTGTGCTTCGCAACAATCCTCATTCCGACTTTACAGTCCTGCGTTTCCACTGTCCTCTCTTTTCTCCTCTACTTGTTAGATATTTTCCGGCTCCTTATGTCATCTATCTCGCGAGGCACAGGATCGATCGTCCTGAAGTCGCGCTGGCATCTCGCCAGTGCAGGCGCATCGTTGCAGAAGGATATTTCCAGAATAGCGATACGCGTACGCGAGATAATGATACGCGAAAGAGGGAATAAAGCGAATCCCGACCGCTCCACCATGTTCCCCTCGTATCCACGTCGCGACAGGACGAATGCGTTTGTCGCGCAACTGCGAGGACGTTCACGTCCGGAATAAAAACCGGCCCTTTCGCCCCGCGTTTAGAAGCGCGAAGGCGTAACGATTTCTCCTTGGTTTCACATCGCGCGGAACACTTTCGCGCTCGCGCGAGACGCATTGTTCGCGCTAAGCCCGAACTACTTTCTTTATCGCGATGAATCGCGACGCGCTGCAGGTTCATTAGTCGCCAATTGTATCACGTCGCGCGCCAGAAATTTACATTGAACTGGATTATTTACGAGCCTGGTTTTATTCGCGATTGCGCGGAATCCAGGGTGGCATCGTCGCGTCTACGCAGAAACCATGCAACTGTGCGTCTACGTATGTCGGCTGACGGACGTGGTAGTCGAGTAAAGACCGAATCAGACTAGCAATTGTCGACGCCGATTGGATTAGATTGAAATTTGACCAATCAGAGTAAAAATCACGAAACTTGGCATTAGTAAACTTTACTCTGATTGGTCCAATTTCAATCTAATCTCAATCCCAATCCTCTGACACGGGCTTAAGACTAGCAATTGTCGACGCGGATTGGATTGGGATTGTCTTCTAGCTAATGAGAGCGAAGCAGTCAGCGATTTAATCGACTCTCATTGGCTGGAAAACAATCGTCAATCGCCAACCCCATTCCAATCCGGGTCGGTAATTGCTAGTCTGATTCAGCCTTAAGGGCCTGAGCAGAAAGATTGTTCTGAGCGTTTACGATTCCGTAGCAAGACGTAAGTCGGTGTCGAAAGTCAACGCACAAAGAATTGTCGTAGATGTATGTAGCATCCCTCGCATTGCGTCGCGAGATGACATACAATTCTCTGTGCGTTGACTTCCGACGCTGACTTACGTCTTACGATCCTAAGGGGCTGAGCAGAAAGATTGTCGTACGTGTTTACGATTCCGTCGCAAGATGCAAATCGATCGTCGGAAGTCAACGCGCATAGAATCTTAGACGTATATCGACATTCATCGCATCGCAAGGCGACATACGTCTACGACAATTCTCTGTGCGTTGACTTCCGACACTGACTTGCGTCTTACGACGGAATCGTAGACGTGTATCAACATTCGTCGCATCGCAAGGCGACATACGTCTGCGACAATTCTTTGTGCGTTGACTTCCGACGCCGACTCAAGTCTTACGACAGAATCGTGAAACGGTTACGGCAATCTTTCTGCTCAGGCCTTTAACACTCGGTAACCTCTATTTACTCGTTTGCCCTTATTGACGCGCCTTTCCCTCGCAACATATCTAGCTACTGACAAGAACGTGATCCCTGATCCGCGACCCTCGTCTAGTCCGATACTGGTCGTCCGCGATTAAAGCCGCATGCATAATCGCATGCAATTAATGTTGACATGGCGAAGGGGACCGAGTAAAAGCCAGGCACTGCGATGCAACGTCTACAATGATTGCCGCGCGATGACAACAGATGACAATGGCGCTTAAGATGATTCGAGCTGAGGTGTTTCTTTCGAATAGAAACGCTGCTTTTAAAAACTTCAGGATATTAATCTAAATTCAGTGCTTCTAGTTCGAAGATCGACCTTCCTCCCACGTTTTCAAGAGAGCAATTAGATCGCAAGGAAACGTTTCACACCAACCGTGTGCAAAGTATTCTTCAGGTTGCTCGTACTTTTTTGTTTTCAGGATGCCCAGCGTGATCAAAGGATAAATTAAAGCTACGAATCACGGCCGACCAATTCGGGCCAACTGCAACGAGATATAATTACATCTACAATTATATAATTATAATTACATAATTCTATATAATGACCGCGTTTGAATGAGTGACTAGGTAAATGCATTCGAGCGGGGAACTACGGTGACACTCTCGGCGTGTGCACGCGGCCTTCGATCGCACCTGCGGCGAGTGCTATCGTAGCTGGCAGTCCAGTAGAGAGGCGCCACTGTCCCGCGTTATCGCTGCTCACAGCGGCGGACGCATGCAAAAGCCTCCTCCTCAGCTGGATGGAACTGGGTCTTGTCCCACGCGAAGCGCAGCTTCAATTATGTCCAATCTTCCCGCATCCTCCTTCCGCTTCTCGCCTCGCCGACGTGTCGATGCCGAGGACCGCGGCGGAATCTCGGTCCGCGCGGCCCCAGACGCGACACACACACTCTCTCTCTCTCGTTCTCTATCTATCTATCTATCTCCCTTATCAGCTGATAACGCCTCTCCTGCACTGTACCCTCCGCGAGATTCCTCTCAGAACATCGAGGCCCGTCGACGTTCCGCTTCGTCCCCGAGATTCCCGACGTTCCCCTCGGCTCTCCCGAGCACCTCCGCCTCCCTGGTCCTCTCGACCGTCACCAAGAGCAACGTCAGACCCGGAGGCCGGGAGGGTCCTCCCTGCAGATGTTGGGCGCTCCCCTCGGGAGAGAAGGCGCTCGGCGACGACGTGGGGCGCGCCACCGCTGCTCGCTTCGATATCCCGGACGTGCTCCGACGACGTGAGGAGGAATACGGCAATGCGGCGCGAAGCGTGTCCGCGCTCGTGCTCCACACTCTCCGCAGCGACGTTCTCGGCAACGCTTTCGCGGATGTACGTGTGGCGCGGCGCGACGATGCGAGGAGCACGCACACAGACGGGGGCGGGAGCGAGCAGGCTGGTACCGCCGCGTCTGCGCCGCGCGACTCACCTATTGACCGAATATCATCGCGGTAGCTATAGAACCACCGATGATGGTGGCACACACCAGCAACGAGAACGACCACGGGCGGCTGTTCGCGGGAGCGTTGCTGCGAAGCGTGGCTGAACCCCGAGGATCGCTCGCTCGCTCGCTCGCTCTCCCTCGCCGACGCGGCCGCGGTGACCGCGATGGCGGTCAGCTGACCGCGAGACGGTTTACCGGCGAATTCGTCCCGGGTTTCCTCTCGTTTTTCACCCCCAACCGGTGTATACCACGTGAACGCCCACGGATCTTATCGCCCCGCAAAGTAGCCGCGCGATTTCGGGGTCCGACAATATCTTCACCTTCCACCTTTCGCTCGCTACGGCGGCGTTACGCGATCAATCTTGTAGCGAAGGCCGCGGGTCTTCCTCTCCTTTTCCGTTTTCTCCCGACCTAAGGGCATTTAGCGCTCGCGACGCTCTCAGAGCCACCTCGTCCTTGTTGTCTAGCAAATGTTAAACGAGGAATAACGAGATGGAACATGGACCAAGTCCCTCGTCGAGGCCCGTTATCATCTCGTCCCGCTTTTTCTCTCGCTCATCCGCGCCTGCTACGCCGCCGCTCTTCGTAACGTCAATATTTTCCAACGCCCGTCTGTTTTCCCTATTATGTACACGTCCGTACATTTTTGTTACGGATAATTCCCACGGATATATTTGTACCACGGTATCCCGCGAGACCAGTCTTTATCTTGGCATCCATGTTACAATAAGCCCGAGATATGGAGCCGATGTATACACGTCTTCTCATTGAATATAACTTTGCGGTGTTACGAGAGATAATGGTAAACCGTCGCAGAGTTACGTCGCGTCCCGGCCTCTCGTCCCTGTGCTTCACGACGCGACGGCCGGCTGCGTTTAATTGCCGCACGAGATTCGCGACGCAAAAATGAACTTCCTCGTTGGGGAAGGGACCGCTCGCAGCTCCCGTTCCCAAACCCGATCGCGGAAGTCCGCCAGCGTCGTTCCGACCCGACAAAGGAGGGTCGGCCGAGGCGGGAGCGCTCGTTGCTCGAGGGGTAGCTCGGAGTGTCGTTCGCACAGCAATCAAGCGTTATTGTAGAGTAAGTTGACCAAATTCGGATCAACAATTTGACGAGTCGCTAACGAGCGGCATAAAAGCACGTCGAATGCCTTTTACGATATCGACAATATAGCACAAAGTTGTAATAAAAGAGCACGATTTAAGTGAATCACTTCACAATGTCGCTTATTATCCGCGTCTCATCCGAATTTGGTCACCTTACCCTAATAGCAGGGTTGGGAAGTAACTCGTTACTTGTAACGAAGTTACAGTTACTGTTACTTTTTTTTTGTAACTCTATGTTACTTTCTCTCCACCTGTAACTGAAACTTGACGCGGTTACATTAATACTTTGTATATTTTTTAAACCTCCACGGATCGCATTAGGCTTTGCATTTGCGCATAAACGCCTTTATCGACGCTTTACAATTTAAAGATTTGATTGTTTTACCTTCATTGCAAGAAAGTAACTGCAAAGTAACGAGTTTTGAGTAACTGTAACTGTAACCAGTTACGTTTTTAACGAGAAGACTGTAACTGTAACTAGATACTTTTGTTAAGTAACTTGCCCAACCCTGCCTAGTAGCTACCGTAAAAATTGGCATCGCAAACGCTGGCGTCTTATCGCTGGTCACGACGGGCTCCTCCCGACGTTGCCAGGCCTCGCGAGCCTCATCGAGGGACAATTATTTCCAACAGATGCGTCAGAATGTCGCGGGAGAGGGAAAGATAATCGAGTTATTCTTCTCGCCTCGCTCCCTGAAGTGTACCGTGGGCGGGAAACGTGTCCCGACGTGGTCGGGATCTTTTTTCACGTCTCGCCCGTGTGTTACGTCATACCTGGGGTTGCGCAATCGGGACCAACCCTCGAGCCGGTCCGCCCAGCATCCCATATTCCGGCGCGGCGCGGCACCTTCCTTCTCACGACGACGTCGCCTTGACCGAGTAAACAATCGTCGCCGTCGAGTCACGTCTCGGAGAGATCGGGGCCGATATAATTCCGATGAGTTCAGATCCCGGCGCGCTCGTCACGCGTATTAAGATCACCTTTATACTTATTCATGACAAAGCGAGACGAACGACGTGACTCGGCGACCTGGGCGAGGTCTCGCCTGCGCCTCTCGCACGGGAAACTCAACTCGAGGATTGTATATCCGCGTGGTTGAGATCTCGCTCCCTGCCAGGGGAAAGGTTGGCAAGTGGCCGGAAAAGTAACTGTGACTTACTTGGGCATCGACACGGCAGGACATCCAAGTTGCAGGAGACTCCTGGCGAGGTACTCCGGCGCAGGTGCGTCGCTCGCAGCCTCAGGTACGTATCGCCTGGCGGGCCGGGACGATCTGCTGCTTTCGCCGGCGCATCTGTCCGACGCCGACGACGACGTGGAGGTCGACAGCGACAACGTCGACGACGGCGACGATCTCGTGCTCGTCAGGCTCGCCCGTTCTCGCGCGAGGTCGTCGCTCGCCCGCGGGATCCTCAGGGAGCCGCTGCGACGCAGGCCCAGCTCGCTCTCTGAAATTTTTCAATTCGCCGCACCACAGGATTAGTCATTACTCGCGCCGATGATTGACGTGGGCCGGTGTTATCGCGTCAATCGCAAAAGTGAAAGCAATCCGCGAGAAACGATTGAGAAATCTTGAGGGAACGTGTGTGCGAGTTATTATAAAATCTCCCTCCCGCGCTCTTTTCATGCCGCGGAGCTTTCAGGCGTCCTCGTGTACCTAATTTTTATTCCTACGATGAACGCCCGTCGAATAAGTTTAGCGTCGACATCTTTTCCGAGAACGCTATTTTGCTTCCTCGTCCGAGCTGATTCTTTTATTTTTAAGGCTTAAGTGGAACCTTAAATTCCGAATTGAAATCACGCGCGCTCTTCCAATGCGCTCCGTGAACAATCGTGACACTTGAGCCCGGTTTTTCATTTTCTGGTTAACTGTTAACTCGAAGTTAGTCGACTCTCTATCTTTTTTTATATTATTACCTAAGAAGAGATGGAGAATCAACTAACTTCTGGTTAACTGTTAACCAGAAAATGAATAAACTCGCCTTTAGGGCCAGTTTCTCAAACGTCGGTTAACTGTTAAGTTCAGTTAGAGCTCAGTCGACTCCCTTTTCTATCTTATTATCCAAGAAGAGACAGAGAGGCTTGGCTTTTCATTTTCTGGTTAATTGTTAATCAAAGGTTCATTGACCCTCTGACTCTTTTTAGATAATAACATGGAACAAAATGGAGAGTCGACTAACTTCTGATTAACTGTTAATCAGAAAATGAAAAACCGGTCTTTTGGGCCAGTTTCGCAAACGTCGATTAACTGTTAACTAGAGTTCAATCGACTCCCTATCCTTTTCTATCTTATTCTCCAAGAAGAGACAAAGAGACCTAGTTTTTATGGTTCATTGACCCTCTGACTCTTTTCAGATAATAACATGGAACAAATGGAGAGTCGACTAACTTCTGGTTAACAGTTAACCAGAAAATAAAAACAAAACCAGGTCATAATCAATTAACTTTTGGTTAGCAGCTAACCGGCATTTGTGAGAAACTAGCCCTTAAATAACTATCTAGACCAGGTGTACAGTTTTATATCATAAGGTGTATGTATTTCTAGACACTCGTCCCTCGATTTACGCGGTATCCTCTTGCGCGGTCAGAAGATGTATATCTCTTTACGGTATTTGTTGAAATTATTATACAATATATCGGCAAACCGAACGTTCTTACTTGAATATATCACATCGTTCCGACCTTCTTTGGTTGACTTGTGGAAAGCGTATTAAGCTTAGCCGCACAAGCGACGACAAATTTGCTTGTCTGCCTACATTATTATTGTTCTTCTGTAAATATATAAAATAAATGTAACATGCACGGGTCTTTCACGTATTTTCTTCGTACCTCACTTACGCGATTTTCAGCCGTGTAAAAAGAAACCACGTGGAGTATCTTACGTAAATCGATCGACGAGTGTATACTTAGAAACAAACGGCAATAACGAAAATCTCACATGTTCTCTTCACTCAGTCGCGAAACTTTCCCGATGCGCCTTCGCAAAACTACCGAACATTCCCGCGACAACTTTCTCCTCTCGCGTGCGACTACCCCGCCGGAGGAAGTTACTTCGGACGGGCGTAACAAATTGCTGCCGATTTATCGTCAAACGGGACGGCCGGAAGCAGAAAAGAGCGAAGCGACGAAAACGACACGCACTGGCCAGCAACGCGCTCCGTCGTCCGGTTCGAGCTTAGTCGTCCCCGTCGTCGACGACTTTAATTCGTTTAAAACCTCGGGTCGTGCGTTACGTCAACTCGTATATTAACGGCGCGTCGCGTCTCCGATATACCACCTGCATTACGTGAGCGCATTACGAACACAGGGTGCCTTTAGCTTAAGTGACTCAAGCCCCGTGTCGAACGCGCCGACTTACCCTGGATCTGGAATACCCGCAGAGCCATGTCAGCGAAGATCGACCGGCCTTCCCCGATCGGGCTTTACGCTATTTTAAATATCGCGAGTTTTTCGAACAGCGCGGTCGAATCGATCGTTTTGGCGCGCGTGTTTGAGCTACGCCTACGAAGAACCAGTTTATACGAAATTCAAAATGAAGCAAATTCGAAATAGAAATTAATTGATTATAAATCGTTGAAACGAATACCGATGTTTCTTGGGACAAAAGGAAAATTTAAATTACAGCTGATTCCAATGCAAAATATTGCAAACAATTGGATGAGATTTACACATTTATTTTAACACGGCTGGTATTGCAATTCATTATTCATTTAATGAGAAAAGCGAACAATTTCCTTGTCCCGAACTATTTTAATTAACGAGAATAAAGACTTATCGTCGCCAGTACATAATTAACCAATGTAGGAAAATTAATGAACGACATAACTCGCAAATTCTATTGGCAACAATTAGAGAAATTTATTGCGAAAAATATTACCTCAGTCAGAATTTGAAGCTGAACCTCCCTACTCTAGGCGGGAAGTAATAAAAATATTATTTATACACCTTGACCGAATAATGGTGTCCAGGTTGAAGAAAGGGTTGGGGAAGGGGATACTCGGCTGACAACCCGAGTCGGCGCGCAGTTTAAAGTCGAAAAATAGACGCGAAGATATCATCATTAGACTGTATATTGCGACAAATATTACCACATGCCTCAGTGGTCGAATTGGTGAGACGCCCGCCTAGAGTGTAGGGAGGTCCAGGTTCAAACCCCGGCCGAGGTAAGTTTTCGCAATAAATTTCTCTAATTAGAATTTGCCAGTTGCGTTGTTTATTAATTTTCCTGTTTTAATTAAATTTTAACAATAGACGCGAACGTCCAAAATGATTTTGCACAAAGAAAAGCTTCTACTCAATTGGAAAACCAGAATATCATTTGTGAAACATAATTTTAACATGGAAACAATAATTACGTTACTTGCTTATCGTAGACACTGAATGGTCCTACAATTAATTTTCATTTAACGCAAGCTCGTCCTATCGCGAACAAAATAGTCTTTCGTTACGAAGGAAACGTGTCAAAAATAAAAAATAGGGGTCGCCAAAATTATACCGTAAAATCGAGGTCACCAAAATTACACCGATTTGGATCTTTAATTCCGCATCGCTGCTAATTCAAGACGACGCGAATCACAGAATGAAAGAAAAGTAGAACAGATAGATCTATTTTTTTCTCGCGCGAGAGATATTTCACGAACGGTTAACGAACGTTTTACGACCTCGCGGCCTTCCGTCCAACTGAAAATTCAAGTGTGCGGAGGAGGCGCGCGCGCGTGTGTACACCGAAATCCACCACGTTTCTGGCAAAGTGCCGCGCATCGTCCTGTGTGTCATGCGGGAGAACGCCAGTTCTCCTGCAAGATTCGACAACGCGGCGCGCGGATCGAACGTGATTCGCGAGAATTATTTGCGGCACGGCACGGCATGACAGTGGAAACAGTAGGCGGTTCCCCGAAAATCGCCACGACCCGGAATTCCCTTCCATTTCCAGATGCTGGAAATCCGTGGGTTGAGGAAGAACGATGAGTTTCGCGGAATTCAGTTTCGCGACACCGGACCGGAAAAAGCAAAATGCGGAAAATATAAACGATGATTCACGATGGTATCGCAAAAAACGCTCAACACGGAAAACTCATCCGCAAAACTTTACGCCAATTTTCTTAGTTGCACGTTCGTCAAAAGTATGTCACCTTCGATTAGAGAAAAAAAATGTATGAGAAAGTAAATGAGAGAGAAAAATGCCGGAGATTCGAGCGTCTATAAAAAATATTGTGATAACAACCGATAATTCGGAACGAAGATCGACACTGATTCGCGTTAATATAATCTTCATCTTTTGTTACTTTAAATTTATTAGCCATCATTTGAGCTTAAATTCTTTTCTAAATATGCCGCTGTCTTTTATTATTTAAAGATGTTTCGTTCTTAAAATCTCTTAGATAATTGCATCATATCTATCATAATTTTCTCCGGAGCGAAACTCTGATGCGGTTAAAATGTATTTCGTATCTAACAAACACGAAATTTACGGACGCTCTTATCGATCTATTTTCCTTTTTGTCCAGAATGCTGATATAAATTCTCCGCCATTATCTCACACTATCTATTACAATTAATTTACCCACGGTAAACATCAATCGTGTCCTAGACAAGAATAGTCATTTGTAACGACCAAACAATTTATCTTCGATATTAGAACGAAAGTGGCCGGCTTACGTAATTAGGTTTAATTGCTGCCGTTAGATGCAGCTGCTGCTTTGAGAGGAGCGATAAATGTTCGCGATTTCGTCATAGATATGTTGAAAGAATTCCACCCAGTGTGTTGCAATAAATATTAAATCATCGACATCGAACTATGGTGTGTGGGAATAATATAGCTATACTTCGTATCGTTTTTTGAAAAATGAAAAATAATTTACCTAAAATGCAATCATTTTTAAAAGCATTTGCGGTATCCTTTCACAGATAAATTCAATAATTACTTATCAATATGTTAAATAAAAATATTCGGTGTTGTTTCTAAGATTTAGATGCAACTAAATGCGAAATGTGTCGCTAACTGCTCGCTCCACACTTCGCATTTAGTTGCACTCGGGACACTGCAATTCTATAAAGAAAAATCAACACGCGCGATTAATTAGCTTCCGCGATTGTTTCGCGCGTGTATTAAGATAGCGTTTATCGAAATGACCATAGCACGCGTTACTCATTTGAATCGAGACAATCAGAAAATCAGAATTACAAATTACAGTTTCAACACTTACGGGAAATTATCATTTCTTGCGGCATCCTTTGAGTGTTTTATCGAGTTAAATGCAATTTATTTACCGAATGCGCGGTGTAACGCACGAGTCGCTGAATCGGAAACGAAAAATCATAGAAGCATCGAACGTTTGGCGATAATTAATTCGAAACGCAACGATATTCGGCGTGCAATTATTTCGTAGTAACGGGATCGTTTATCGCGCAGCTTTGCAAGAACGTCACGCGCCGTATCGTTTATTCT